ACTATCGCGCTGAGCCGACAAACAGCTGATTAGCTGTTTGTCGGCTCAACGCGGCAGCCATGTAAATTAAAATGAAGCGGCGATTATTTAAATCGCCGCTTCATTTTACTCTGTCGGGTAGCCTAATCTACATGCCTCTGTCGCCAGAGGCATGTAGTCTAGACATACCCTTAGTGAGTTATCAAGGTCCCAGAGGAAGCCTGTGGGAAAACAGGGACTTGACACAGGTCTCCCAAATCGAAGGCAAATGCTCTGGCCGCCAGACTATACTTTCTTTCTCCTGCTGGATCTGCTTAAGCTGACTTTGAGGCTGCTTCATGTTCATGGTGCAGCACACAGCAGCTGCACCACAGCAAAGGAGTTCTGTCTATCTCTACCATATATTTTGCCTCCTTTCACCAACACATGCACATACATTCTGTACAAAAGGAGATAGTACATTAACTTATGGCAGGTTCTAAGTGTAATTAGATTGGAAAAGGACATTTTTAAAAAAAGAAACTTAAAAAATACCCCCCCTTCCAGACATCATCAGTGGACATTTTATTTTTTAATAATTCATGATTAATTGGTTCAAGGACTGCCCTTTGTAACTAGAGCAAAGGGAGATTAATATTAGCTAACTCTTAGATGCATTTGGCAATACACTTTTGGACAATTTTTACTGCACCCCTAAGGAAATAAGAGCACTATGTATTCTGAGGGGAAAACACTTTTCAAATATTCGGTTTTTCTTGGTTGTGTGTGTCTGTTGTGTAAGTGTTCCTTGGTGGCAGTGAATAAAGTGCTCTTCTGTGGAACACACTCTCCTGTCTCCTTCGGCAGACTTAGTGTCTGTACAGGGAATTCCTGTTCCTAGCCCAAACCCACAGGCTCTAGGCACTGAAGGACAAGGTCAGCCATCTCACACTTTCTCTTTCTGAGCTGTATTCTGCACAAATAGAGAAAGACCAGAAAAGAGGGTGGGGGATGACACTTACACTTTTTCCTGGGAAATTCAACTGACATTTCTTTCTTAAAGCAAACTCGTTTCTGAGTCCATTTTCGCAGATTCCCTGATAGGTTCAAATATACCCCGTCATTAATTTTAATGAATTAGCAATAGCTGTTGTATGGGGAAATACTGCACTGTTTTATCAGTCTTGAAAGCTACAATGAGAGAAAGTGCAGTACTGCAAGCCACATTTCTCACCTTCCTGTCTCCTCTCTGGTTTCTTTTCCTCCAATGGTAGTGACTGAGTCACAATGGCATCCACTGCCAGGGATGCTGGATCATCTTTTATAGTGGGAGTGGTGAAGGCATGTATTTAGGTTATTACTATTTCAAGCCAAGGGATTTGGCAACATCCCTAGCATCCTTAGTTCCAGGACCTATTGCAGGGGTAGGCAATAAGCTGGAGGCAGTTTGCCAGAATTGGTTCCTGGTGGGCCACTGCCACTTTATTTATCTGAACCTCTGCAGGTATGGCTGCTTGTAGCTCCCACTGGACACAGATCGGTGTCCCTGGCCAATGGGAGCAGCAGGAAATGGTGTCCCAGTCCACTCTACTTCCTTTCACTCCCATTGACTGAGGCCAGTGGGAGCTGCAATTGCCAGTATCTGTGGCCATGCAATTAAATATAACGGCAGCCCACCAGGGACTAACTCTGGCAAACCGCTGTCATATTATTGCCCAGTTGTACTGTAAACACATCATAGTCCAATGATCCTACTGCGTTACAGAAGAAGGCAGCTTTGTATATCGAACTAGCCTGTTTTCCTCTGTTTCAAGTATCGTTCGTCTACTCCATCAATCCCTTCTCAAAATCAGTTTCTTTAGCTTTTCCACTAGTGATCTCAACTTCATTCCTTCCTTTTCTTGCTCTTGTACCTGATCAGAAAACACAAAGAACAATTATGTAAGACTGAACCATCTTTATTTTTTTTAAATGCTCTCCTCAAAGCTGTGTTCTCTTCCACTTCTATAGACCTCTTCTTTTCTGAGTCAACTACTGTTAGTTACAATCTAAGCAGATAATCCAATGAAAAGTAAGCACTTCAAACTTTAAAATGAGAGTCCCTGACCTGAAGTGTTTTGGGGTAAGCCCATCAACATAATAGTTAATTGACGCAACAGAGACCTAATTTAACTGTAATTGGGCTTATCATTAAATTTAGTAAGGCCTTCTGTACCTTTTGGACGATGCAGGTAAGGGTAAGCAGGAGGAAACTTGAACTTTGTTGATAGAGGCTAGGAGGGAGATTAAACAATTATCAAAGCTGAATCCAAGGCATAAGAAAATTGAGTTTAACTTTCTCTACGCCTTTCAATATATTGGTGTTTTATGGCTTCACATTGTCCAATTACTAGTGGAGTGTATGTATGGGGGGGAAGTGTTATATTTCCCAAGAGTTCTCAAAATCCCTGCTAGAGCAAACCACAGGGCTTCATTTCAAACCATTATCCTACCAACTGTTGACTAGCTGGTACTCCCGTTGGAGCCTGCAGATGTTCTTTGTTAATTGGCTGGAAGAGTCACTGTGTGTGATGCAAGGTGTTGTCTACTTTCTTGCTGCTAGGAAGCTGATATGGTTGTCTGTAGCAGTCCCAACTTTTGCAGGTCCTGGGTTTCTTGCTTGGGAAATCTAGAGTGAGTTTATTTTATCATGTTTGGTTTGCAAGTCCTAACTTGTAAGTCTCTCAAACTTGTCTTTTCAAGGGGCATTCACTTATTGTGGCATATAAACACAGGTACCTTTTATTTTAATCCAGGCTTTGTCATTATCCTAATGCTTTTTAAAATAAATGCATAATCAAATAGCTGACTTTATTCAAATTTTTTCTCTCCAGTCTCCAGAGGGTGCTGAGGGCAAGGATGCAGCAAAAATAACTAAACAA